ATAGTTGTGTCGACCATATATTAACTCTTCATCAAGCTTTTGTACAGAGACCCATACAGACGACCGACTATAGTGGTTTTCCTTGACTTGAAAGCCGCTTTCGACTCTGTTAACCATCTCAGCTTGTGACACTGCCTATCCGTGAAAGGTGTGTCAGCTAAATTCCTTTCTATTCTGAGGTCTCACTACCGTGACTATTGAGGCCGTGTAAGGGCCTACGGGAAGCTCTCCTGAGTTCCACACAAGTTGGATTCGCCAAAGTTTTCCTATATTCCTTTCCTCTTCAACAGTGTGATCGAAATGATTACTGTTTTTATTTTATGAGTGATTTGGTTTTTTTCAGACTCCCTGGAGTGGAATTTCTGCCAGGTCGCCTGCTGACAAACGACCTGGAGTATGCGGACGACGTAGCTCTTCTTGGGTGTGACGCAGTGACTATGAAAACACTGCTGAGTAGACAGTCGTTATATGCCTTGCACCTTCAAAGTGCAAAGTGCTGTTGCATGATTGGACAGACACACCTCCGGTTTTAGCTATTTCCGAACAGCCACTGAAGGTGGTGGATCGGTTCACTTACCTTGATAGCTGTGTTACCTAGTGGTCACATCATTGAGGAAGTTATTTCGCGTACCATTAAGGCCCGTGTGATTTTTCAGATACTCAATCACCCATGTAGACGGCGGGATATCAGCTTGTCAGTGAAAGGTAGGGTGTACAACGCTGCGATAAGGCCAGTATTATTGTAAAGGTCAGGGACACTCGTCCTGTTTGCAGTGTTTGTCCACAAGTGCTTGCAGAGTATTGTTCACATCTGATAGGAACACCGAATGAGCGCTACAAAATTCTGCCTGTTGGTTTTTATCAAGTAGCTTTCTGTTGTCTCCTCGAGTCTGCTGTAGCTTAATTGCTTATGTCGGCTAGGCCATGTCCTCTATATGCCCGTTGATCGGCATCCTCGGCGTGCATTATACGCCGTGGCTGCACCAAATTGAGCGAAACCGGCTAGTGGGTAGTCCATAATGTGTCATGGAAGCTTGATGAACTTGACTGGGTGACTTAGTCAGGTTGGCGCATGCCGTCTTCTTGGGTGGGGTCCTCGGGATGTCCCACACCAATGGTAGGAGTCTGTATCAGACATGGCACAGTCACGCAGTCAGTGGTATTCATGCATTCGATTTCTTACATCTTCTTAATTTTCTTTTAGCAATTCGAAAAGCACGGTAAGTAGATGAAAGCTGGTAGTTGCATGCATTTCGTATTGTCTCCTCAGTACCATTAACACTAACAGGTATGCAACCGGCCCTGTGGGTTCAAAAGCACTTATTTGTCAGCTTAAGACTTCCGTGGACATAGGGTTGGAACTTCCGTCATACATTTTGCACCTCATGCTTATTTGATCGCACACATAGTTAAGTATATCTTTGCATACCAGTTATTGTTAATCGTGCTGAGGAAACAATACGAAATGCATGCATCTACCAGCTTTCGTCTTCTTACCCTGTTTTCAAATTCCCTTTTCATTTTGTTTGGTCTAACCCATTTCCTTCTTGCTTTCATTTTCTCTGCATTCTATTTGCATCCAACCCCACTATCATACCGTTGGTATTTACTGTTGTCCTCGTGGCAACTGGATCCACCGCACTTCGCTGCTCGGATCGTAGTTGTTCATCTAAACTGTATTGAACAGATGGTGAGATCGCAAACCGTATAGTAAAAACCTGACGTGCTTTTGTCACTCTCCGCCACTTGCGATCTTGGCGCGACACCACTTTCGCTCTGAAGGTCAGAGTTTATAACGCAGCCGTGCATTCAACTCCTGCACGATCACGAAACCTGGCCAATCAGATCGACAGACGTGAAAGGCTTGTTACGTTCCACCGTCGATGTCTTCGCCGTTTGACTCATATCTGGTTTGGACACGGCGTGGGCAATGAGCATGCTCGGTTTCTCGTATTTGCTGCAGGAATTGCCAATATATCACGCTCCGGGATCCGATAGCTGGACTACATGTTACGCATGCTAGCACACCAGCTCCCGCGACGTGCGTTGTTTGCGCGACGGGGGTGTGGATATAAGAGAAGAATGGAAAGCCAAGCGATGACCTGGTCAAGAACATTGAAGGTTTTTTGTTCGAATTTGGCCTCAGTCGGAGTCTCGGCTCTCTGGTTGGGGCCGAGAGACGACGGAAACGTTTGGCTGGATATGCTTGTTGGTATGGGTAGAAGCCGACCTCAGTGACGTCCCCCCATCCCCTTCTCGCCTAGATTTACTCTGTAATCACGATCTCACACTCCATGCATAGTATGACACTTAGCATTATCTTGCATATTTTGTGTTTACTTCGTATGCAGCAATGTTTCATATCTTACTTTTCTCATACATAGCTTTTTGTGTTGTGGCACAATAGCCGAGGGCTTTCTCACCTTCAGCGAATGTGAAACGATGATGGTGGCCCCTAACCATTGGTCTCTGTCTGATATGTGTGGCTCTGAAGGCTATTGTAAACTGCCACCCAGTTTTAGCTCAATGGGTCACGGAAGTACGTAAATCATCGCACCAACTTATGTTCCGGTCTCGCTGCGATGGGCGATTTGGGAATTGATTTCCGCTGAGTTTGCACGATGTTTGTGGCCATGGAAAACACACTCACGGTATATGTTAAAGCTACGCTCGTCAATTTTTGAGTGGCTGAAATTTTCTATCCTGGATGGCCGGGAGCACAAAAATCGGGCACTCAGGTCGCTCCAGCGGTTCTTCCAGCAGACATTTTTCAGTCACTCGTGTCTTGCGGGTAACATGCGAATCATTGTAATCCGATTTTGACTTATGAGGTACTTGTTTTCTGGTTTCCATTGCCTGGTCAAAGGCTGTGTGTCTGTAGTGATCCCACTTTTGTGCTGCTTTTTTCGTATGCGGCCCACACGTACCTGAATAAGGACGGGCATCTGGGTCCACTGTTGTGAGTGCTGTGCTTGTCTTTTACCTTTGTATGATATCTTCTAATAATCATGACAGTGCTATCTGCTAACTTCCTATGCTAATTCCAGCTTTTAGGTTGGGTGAAAGATCACGATAGCTACGACGGTGAAACTTGTAGTGCCCTGAAAACTAATGTACTTCATCCATGTGACATTTCTTTACAGTCGGTTTGTCCTTTATTCCATCACTTCCCTTGCTCTTCGTCTTTTTCTGAATGCTCACCGCGACGAGACGACCTGAACGTCTTGCAGTGGTTTGCGCTCTTTCTGTGACCTATTTAAGCAATGTTGCGTGGCGCTTTCCAAGGGCTTTCAGAGCCATTCACATTGGCCAGATCAATGGTTAGGCATCAGACCAATCCGATCTCAACGTCTTTTCGGAGTTTTAGGATTAGTCATTGGTTCTCCTTTCGAAACAGTCAAGAGATCAACACCTTACTGGTTATAATCTCACACCTTGATTCGCGTAGAGTGAGAGTGTCACGTGTTGTCATTGACGGCAGGAGCGTACCACTTGCTTTTCAATGGTTTTCTCCGCGCGCATCAACTCAATCTCTGATCATTTAGGTGCAAACCTTCGAAATCTCACTTCCAGTCGGCCGCTGTCGCAAATGCGTATACTACTATGGTGGGAAATCTGAATTTCTCTGGTTCTTCAAATGCTTTTCGTGGTCGGTTTCAGACAGATCCCACGTGACTCTGCGACTGCACTTTGAGTTTGGCGTGCTTCCCACTGCGTTGTGGATCAGGTTATTTAGTAAAGGGCTTTGAGTGAACTCCCCCACGCAGATCTTCATTCATCTTAATGTTCTGCGAGTCAGTCTGTTCGGTCGAAGGCTAGGGCACTCGAAACAAAACCCTCTTCTCACCCTCAGGTTAGGGGGAAACGAGATTGTTCATCAACTCAGCCTAACATTTCCTTTGGGTCATGTATAAATAAATTCGTATATTTGTCGATAATCGGTATACGGCCGCATAAGCGGGAACGATCATTTATACAGTGACTAGGTTTCATGGTTTATGCGACATAAATAATAGAATTTCGGATTATGAATTTTCCCTCTGGTCCTAGACCTGATCACCTAATATGTCAAATGTTTCATCGTTTTCTAGTTTGTGAGACTGAGGAGTATCTAATAATAGGAGGGGACACAAGATTGGTTTTGTGGGTAATGCTATGAAGAGGGTAGGCTGATTGTAAGCAATTAACCGCTCATATGTTATTTTTACTAGGTTCCGTCAATATTTCTATGGTTTGTTGCGAGCCAAAGTTCTTCAACACATTTGATATAGCGAGGAAAGTCTGTAGGGAATTCCAAAATGTGACATGGTTTGCACTTATGCGTATCTGTGGGGGTAGTTTGTTCCACCGATCAGTGTATCTCACTAAGAAGAAATCTGATCGATTTTTATTACTTGCAAGCTTTGAGGATAGCAAGTAGCCGTCATTGCATGTGGAGTAGATTGCAGTCTTCCGCCGCTCAAGTGCGGTGCTGTCTGCGTAAATTCGTTGATTACTAATCTTTGTAGAAGATAGGGAGCTTTTCCTTTAGACGTTTCAGCCAAAGTGCATCTATTTGGAGATGTCGACAGCGACCATAATAACTCAGGTTTGAGCAGCACCCCATGACCAGCTTGGCAAATAATCGTTGGACATTCTCCAGAGTTGTTCTGCCTTTGTTACTCAGTTGACTATGAACGATAATGCAGTATTGCAAATTCGGTCGTACGATTATCTTGCATGACTTAAGTCGTGTTTCAGGCAGGGAGAAAGTTCTGATGATGTATCCGCATGGAATACCAACTCCTAATAAGCAACACACGACAAGGTCTCTGCTTGATCGCTTCTAGCTGTCAAACTTGTCATTTTTCATACTATGCAGTGTACTATTTATCAGTGTATTTTCAGCGTTTTTATACGTCCTTCAGTTGTCGCTGTTATCACAATGCACTTTTCCATACATGCGCTATGCCGGTTATTTTCCCTCTCCTCTAAGTGTTGCTCGTATCTCTCTCGTTTAGGTGTCTTTTTGCTTGATGTCCTTCTTCGTTGGCAACTTGATAGAAAGCCAGCTCTTATCAACAGGTGCCTTCGAAGTCTACTTCAATGGTAAGTTTCATGCATTTCTGATTTTTGATTTTGTGTTCTATAGACATGCCTTCATTCAACATGTTTTAAATGTAAATCCACGTTATATGCCTCATCCTTCTCAACACAGCGAGCACACCTGGTATTCATCAGCAGTACGCCGGTACGCAGTACCGACGCTTCGCTTCCGCGCAACCATCACCAGTCGCACGTGGACTGAGGATACTGCGATGGTCGCCCGTTCACCTGCGCAGGTTCGAACCGGCTCCCTCTGATTACAAGGCAGGCTTGTGATCCTTAAGGCTACAGGCTGGCTAATGCACCTGATGCGTCGAACGAAGATAGCACAACAAAGGGGTTAGCTCGGAGACGAAGGAATGCACTTTACTGGTCTAACAACGGAAGTACATGAGCTGGGATGTAAAAGAGCAGGTCATTATGCGTTGGGTAGAAACCAGGTGAGTGGATAAAAAAGCGTTCATACGACATCCACCTAGACCGAACACTGGAAGTGCTGCTTCAACAGAGGTTAAACGCAGTACTCGTGATGCAAGAAAGAGGATTATAAAATACTTAAGAAACCTCCTAATGCCAAGCTCTGCTTTGCAAATCGTATGGACGCATCCTCTGCTGACTCTCCAGGATATCTGAGACAGTGTCCGGTGTTAAGGAAGGTCATCATCATCATCATCATTACACGTTAGCTGGAGGTGGAAAACACCTCAGCTATTGTGCCGCAATACAAAAGGCAAGAAAAGAAAAAACAAACAAACAGTGGCACGCCCGCTGAGTCCCCAGTAACGGATGGACATCGTTTCGGTAAGCTACCAGCCAGCTACTATGCATCAAAAAAGTTACTATGCAAAATTATATAAGGTTGAATAATGAGATCGTGGTTGGAGGGGGAGGCTAAGAGGGATGGGGTGGGACAAAGAAACTCGCAGCACGAACGCCACTGAGGTCGGCTCCTAGCCATATCAGCAAGTGTATCCAACCAAACGTGTTCATCGTCTTTCGGACCCCAACCAGGGAGCCGAGACGCTCCAACCGAGGCCAGCTCAGAAGTGAGGGCCTTCATTCCTTTGGACCAAGTTATCGCTTGGCCACCCCTCCTCTTCTTCCATCCACACCCCCGGCGCGCAAACAACGCACATCGCGGAAGTCGGTGGGCTGGCATGCGCACATCGATGTTATTAGCAAGGAGCTTGATTGTTGTATGGGACAAATAATTGATAGCAGTAGCCGTTAAACTAAAGATAGGTAGGGACGGAGAGCTGAAGTGACAGGGGTATAAACTTGATTTACACACATCTTTGAAGCGTTCAGTCTTTCCACAGGTCTTGCAAATGGCTTATCTCGCCCGGGCACTTTTCCTGAGGGTGTTTGGGATGACCAGAAATAACAAGTTTCTCTAGCTACACCTGATAAAGCGGTTTCGCTTTCAGCTGAATGAGTGTATGTGAGAGGGGCACAGAATGAGCTGAAGAATAGGGAATAATCCCAGTTTCCTAGGATCTTTATTGTTTGGCGACAAACTCAAGAGATTTTGCTATACCATAGGCAGTTTCAATATGTAAAGTCGTCTGTTTCAGGAGTCTCCTTTGAGTGCTGTTTAACCGTAATTCAGTTATAAGCGCGTCGCGCATGGCATCATCACAACATTCTTCAACTGACACCGAACGAAAATCACATTCCTTCGCCAACTGCTTGATGTTTTTCACAAACCAATCGATGCTCTGCCCACATTCTTGTTTGCACGTGAATGGGTGTCGATTCACAATGGTATTCTTGGGGCGCACATACAAAGAGTGAAGAAACACAAAGGCGCTATCAAATGTTTTACATCCAGAGACATATTCATAGACCGAAAGGGAACATCATCATCATCATCAACAGCAGTACATCAGCCATTTGAACTGCTGCTTCACTGCCATACAACCATGATAACCTAAGAAATAAAGAATAAGAGGAGGGAAAGAAGGGGGACTCACATGAAAACCTTAATGCCCTAAGCAAACATTCAGGGTCAGGGCGACTACACGTTGTGTGGAGAACATAGCGTCACAAACAGCTGGCTATCGTGCAAAGATTAGGCGGCATCGGCGAGACAGCTTCCTTGCGGCTTTCACTGCCACGCGTCATAATCAGCCATTACCCCGCAGATAAGTTAGCACCAAACACACTTTAAACAGGCATTCCGACTAGGAGACGGCAACAGATACGCAACTGGTGTCGGTTGCGAGCCATGTCCTGTAATGTCTCGAGCCAAGCACAAAGCGAGTCACATGGACTCCAGCTCGGAAGGCGAGACGGACCAACGGCACCCAGTTTGGTCGTCAGTGACTTCATTTCCCACTACTTCTGTCCACCACTAGCCTTGCGCCACCCTACACCTGTCAGACTAAACAAGGCCCTCCTAGGTAACCGGTGACCAGGCATACGTAGCACGTGCCCGAGCCAACGCAACTTATTCATTGCTATCTGTTGTTCTAGGGAGCTAGCATAATTATCACTAACCAGTACTCGCCTACGCATATCATCGTTGCGGACACGCTGGTGCCATCCGACACTAGCAATGCTTTGAAGACAACGATGATCAAAGACTTGAAGGCGCCTCAGATGTTCAGACCGAAGGGGCCAGGTTTCACTACCATAGGGCAGGACGACCCTTACTGTGACCTTGTATACGGCCTATCCGACGGAGGGAAACTCCGTTCTGTCGCCAAAGATGCCGCAGGTTCAGGAAGACAGTTCCACCCTTTACAATGCGTGAACTGACTTCAGTTTCTATGCGCTTATCATTGCTGATGCTGCTGCTTAGGTAAGTGAATTGATCAACCACCTGGAGTTCCTCCTTAGCAAGGGTCAAGTGGTCATCAAGTGACTGGTGGTCCTGCACCAACACTGCATTTTGTATGTGCGAAGTGCATATCAAATAATGGGACCACTGTAGACTGTTCATTGTTGATTGTACCGCCGCAACATTGTTGAAAAGTAAGACGATATCCTCCGCATAATCAAGATCAACTAAATTTTCACCAGGCAGGATCTCAACGTTTACATCTTGAGATTCCGCAATTGAACCCTCCAGGCTAGAGGCCACTTTGAAAGTGGGGAAATCGGACAACCCTTGCGAATGTCACTTGTGGTCGGAAAGCTATCCGATAAGCCACCGTAGGCCCTGACGCGGCCTGTAGTGTTCGATTATAGAGCACGAATGATCTTCACACATTTTGTGGGAATACCTTTCCGCGCAAGTATCTCGAACAGAATGGATCGATCGACTGCATCGAACGCACTCTTGCAATCGGGGAACTCAGCTATTGTCGGTCTGCAGTATTCGTGGCGCTCTTCTAGCACCTATAGCAGCGTGAATATATGGTCTATACAGCCACGTTCTAGGTGGAAACCTGCCTGCTCTTCCCTAATCCAAGATTCCCGTTTCGCATTGAGGCGACGAACGAGAATCGAGGCCGGTAATTTTATTACAACTGACATTAGGCTAATACTTTTGTGTTTAGCACAGTCTGTGCGGTTGCCCTTCTTGTATATTGCCACTATAATCGATTCGCTCCAGTTAGCCGGGACACTTCCTTCCAGATACGTTGGAATAGGGAAGTCAGTGCTTTGCAGAGGACCTCACTTCCATCCTTAAATAGTGCAGGTGGGAGAGAATCTGGGCCATCGGCACGTAAACGATTGAGGGCTGTGATCGCCCTTCGGACGTCCGCCTCCGACGGAGGCTCTAAACTAACCGTCCATGATTTGTCCTGCATCACCTAAGAGGTCCGGGAGCAGGGGGCCAGCTGAAGTGATCCTGAAAGTGTTTCGCCCAACAAGTCATACGGCGCTCCTTATTGTGTATCGGTGCACCCACTGTATCTCTGATTATCTCACTGACGCCTGGTATCCTGGGACCAGTGGTGCGTGTCAGGTGGAAGAGCTTGCGGTAATTGCCTACCGCTCCTGCCTCCTCCATTTCTTGAGCCCGAGTAGTCCACCAGGCTTTCTTGTTAGCACGTAGGCTCCGCTTTATTTGTGCCTAACAGCTCGTCTTGTCACATTGTGCTCAGAGCCAATCGGGAGGTTTCTTCTAGATTCCAACAGGTTCACCGACCTCTCGGATATCCAGTGACTGGTGCGGTGACCATTGATAGTGTCACAAGCAGATGCACCTGTCGTGCTTGGTGGTCGAGGTCCTATTCCACTGAAACTCAGTGTCGTTAGGACAAGACAGCGAAAATACTGTACTAAGTGCGTCTTGATAGGCTTGCCTGACCGAGGGATGAGACAATTTTATCAGTTACTAATGAATTTGGGTCTGATTCGATTTGGTTCATAGCATTTAGATTCCTAGACGCATAGGTAAGCTACCAATTCGGAAAAGCACGTGACACGCGTTTTTCCCTATTGGTGCTCGTCAGTCGTGCGCATCCATCGGTCCCTTATTGGTGATCGAACCCATCATTTCTAGAGGAAAACGCCAACTAACCAGCAACTTATGCCACTGAGCTATGGAGAACGACAGCCGACCATTACGAATTGAAACCTAACTGTGATATAGCCCGACCCATCCTCCACTGCCGTGCAGCTTATTGCCCGTGCAGAAGACAGTGGTTGGCCGTCACGGTCAAGTCTTCCCTTGCCAGCACCATGAATTCACACAGCAATTTTGAATACTGGTAGGTCTTAGATTTTTGATTATTAATACGGAGACGCTTGATGCGCCTCCCAGTAAAGTTCATAGAGGAACGACAGCGTACTAAGGCCTGATCAGAGTCGACTCAGGTATTCCAGTACGAATGGCAATCCAGGATGGAACCACGCCACCTGTAATTTATGCCAATGTGGTCAATTTGAGTCCATCGCTGGCCAGCTACAGGAGGACGCCAAGTGTCACTTCGGAGCCCATTGTGTCTAAAATCAGTGCTACTAAGCAACAACTGGTGCTCCGCACACAGTTGCAGCAGACGCTCACCGTTGTCCGTGCGTTCGGAATTAAGCCCGTAATTACTACCCAG